CATTTGTAAACATCAAAGCAAGATTCTTACGTTAACCAAATCGAATTTCAGTAAACCTAGAATCTGTCCAGAAATGACAGGGTCGCTAAATTAAATATTTAGTGATGATGCAAAAGCCTAATTGGACCAAACCAAGTTTACCAACTTGTTGCACATACCAAAGGAATATCAGAAAGTATAGTGCCAACCTCTAAATAAATTATTTAATGTCCTTTTCTAATTTATTTAGTTAATTAGGTGATTAAAGCAATATATAGTAAAACTATTTAGAAAAATCTACAAAATTACAGTAGCTATCTCATGCTTCACATAGACTACCATAAAAATTTCAAAGCCATTGGACAAGCAGAACTTGCTGTATCCAAAATAACAGGTGGCAAGCCTATTTATAACATAATTGGGAAACCCTATTAAAAAGTGTCAAGCAACAGATTTCTTATTTTTCCTAGCATCATTCTAGCATAAGAACAGCACTCACCAAATTTTACCCTTACTGGATCTATAGAAAAATTATGAAAATTCACACAAGACCCATCCATACAAACAAGAGAATTTTCTATCTCCTATATACAGTGTCTAAAATATATGAAAATTTAACTACAAGCTATTCATGATATGAGCAGTACTCCATAAAAATTTCATGCCATTTGGAGCTACTTAGAAAAAGATATAATTACCCCTATTTCTTTCATGATTAAAAGAGATAATTAGCAACTCTATTTTTCATAACAGAACATAGCATAAATTATATTTTTAATAAAAACTAGACATTATCATGAACTCAGCAAAATTGGAACCACGTCATTTGAAGCTACCAACTAGGAGATACACATTTTTGCATCTATACACAAATCTGTGAAAAGATTAAAACAAAACAATTTTTTGAAACCCTATCTCTCTCTTCTTTGGGCCGGCCCGAAACAGACCAGCGTGCCCACGACGCATCGCGCCAAACAAACACACCAGTGTGGCCCAAAAGCAGGCGTGGCCAGTGGCTCCCACCTTGGCTCTTTGGCCGACCCCGGCGATGGGGACCCGCGCGATAGAGAGACAAATAGGGGAGGAAGAACGGACGGCGGCGTAGCTCGTCGCCGGTGGCATCTCCGGCGAGTCCAGTGGTACTACGGTGTTCGCCTCATCAATGCGCATCTAGCGGTGCCATCAATTTTGGCTATTACCGCAGCAAGAGGGGGTGGTGACGGCCATGGCGGCGCACGGCCACGGCTCGGCCGGCTCCAGCGAGACGACGGCGTCGCAGCCCTAGTGGTCTACTCGATGAGCTTCAGCGTCACACACAGTAGCTAGCACAAGGGAGAGAAGGGACGATAAGGGGCTCGAGTGGCACAGCCCCGTGCAAGCTCGGTCGGCAGCGGTCATGGCGACCCGGTGGAGCCGCGCTCACGGGGAGGTCTACCTAAGGCGAAAAATGGAATGACGGTGGGGTCGTAGACGTGGAGAAGCTCACGGTGGGGCTGTGGCTTGGATGAATCGGACCAAGGCGCTCGGTTGAGGTGGATTTTTGGCTCAGCGGCTGCCACGGCGTCCCGGTCACTGTGCTCTCGCGGAGGAAGAAGATGGCAGGGTGAAATGGCGAGTGAACGAGCGAGTGGCGAGACGCTGGCCTTCAACTGGAGCTCGGACGCGCGACGTGGAGACGCTGGTCGAGCATGCGCGCCACGCGGCGATCAGCTCCTGAGCCGGTCGGCCACGGCGAGCTCTGTCCGATTTCTGAAACGCTGATTCAGTGTTCAACGACGACGACTGACATCGCGACTTCAACGTGTCAACACGGCTAAACCATCGATCCATTGCAAAAATGGTGTACAGGAAAAATGTAGGCCTACCATCCATCTACAATTTCTTTTCAAGGACCATCATCTAATTCGCCATGGATCAGAAGTTACATCAAGCCAAAGTTGGCTTGATCCAACTGAAAATGCAGTTAGGACTTAGAAATATTTTTCAGTGATGATTCCAGCATCAATAATGACTTGTGGGCCATGTTTGAGGTTGTTCCACACATTTTCATGAGTTGATCATAAAACAACTTTTGTTCCTTGATAAATTAGCTACAACTTTGGTAAAGAGTGCACAGCCATGCAAGGTCTCTAAGTTGGTCTTTTGAATCAGTCAAACAGTGGCACCCTAAGGGTCATTAAAAGTCAAACCTCCACTTAAGGGCAATTTAGTCATTTTGATCTACATGAACAATGTCCCATCAATTACCCTAAGTGTAGTTAAGGTGTATTAGACCCTAATTAACCACTTTACACAAGTGCTATACCCATGTCAAATGATCACATGTGATGAAACAACAAAACAAGCAATTCACCCAAATGTTGCAATTCAATGTTTCACATGTTTCATGACTTTGTTGTTATTTTATACTTGTCACATTACTACCATGTTGCCATGTTTCAAGGTATGAGAAATTCATGTTACATTCACATGTTGCACTACTACCATTCATAAGCAATCAAGTATGAAACAAACAGAATTTGCGAATGTTGCATATGTACGTTTCAGTGACAATGGCATGATGACATAGATGATGCATATGTTTATGAAATGACATGCAATTTCGTGGAAGCCAAACACCTAGGGTGTTACAGCGTGTGCAAGAAGGGACGGACCTACTTCGACAATGTTTCGATGTTTGCGTTCAGCAAATCCATTTTGTTGGTGAGCATGGGGGCAAGAAACATGATGAGAGATGCCAATGTGTGTGAAGAACGAATTTAGGGACTGATACTCCCCTCCCCAATCAGTTTGAACCGCACGAATCTGACGATTAAACTGTCGTTCTACCATGTTTTGAAAATCATGAAAACAACGAAACACTTCGGACTTATGACGCAACAAATAAAGCCAAGTAAACTTGTTGTAATCGTCAATAAAGCTCACATAATAATCATGCCTACCAACAGAAGTTGGAGCCGGTCCCCATACATGTGAAAACACAAGTTCCAATGGACTAGATGAAACACTAGTTGACTTGGGATAGGGCAATTGATAACTTTTGCCCTTCTGACATGCATCACATATCGATTTATTACTTGAATCTCTAATAAATGAAAGCTTGCGGCGACTAAGGATCTGCTAGACTACGGGAGTGGAAGCATGGCCTAGTCTATGATGCCACAAGGACTCGATGGACTTGAAGACGCCAAGCACTTGTTTATTCAGGATTGGCTTCGAAGGGTATAGGCCGCCTTCACATCGGCCTCTAAGGAGCGTCTTCCTCGTCACCTGCTCCTTGATGAAAAAATGATCCGGATGAAATTCGAGAAAGACATTATTATCACGTGCAAGGCGATTGACGGAAACAAGACTTTTGTTAGCATTAGGAACATGAAGAATATTGTTTAGATGAAGTTTACTAGATGGGGAATGCAAAATGCTATGACCAACATGATTAATTCTCATACCTGCACCACTAGCAGTGTGGACTTGATCGCCGCCGTGATACTTGTCGCGGACGGTCAGCTTCTCCAGTTCCCCGGTCACATGATCTGTGGCACCAGAATCCATGTAACAGTTCGTATCAATCCCATAGGATGTCATGGCCGAGGACGCGCTCTTCTACGGAGGGCTGGTAAAGGAGGCGTCGAACCTCTTGAAGCATCGCAGCACCCTGTGTCCCTCCTTCCCGCACAGCTGGCAGATGGTGCCGGAGTTGATGGAGCCGCCTTGGCCACGGCCACTGCCGCGACCGCCTTTCTAGCCACGCCCTGCTAGTCCACGACCGCTGCGGACACCGCCACGGGTGAAACCGCTGTGCCTCCTTTGGACGCCATGTTAGCCGAGGAGTGGGAACCCCACCGGCGAGCTCCATCCGCTGTTCGGAGCTGACGAGTTGCGTGTAAAGTTCACCCACCAAAATGGGTTCAACTCGCGTAACCACAGCGGACACCACCGGGTTGTACTCCATGTCGAGCCCGGTGAGAATGTAGGAGATGAGCTCTTCATCTTCAAGGCGGCGGCCAGCAGATGCCATCTCATCTGCTAGGCCCTTCATCTTCGAAAAATACTCGCCGATGGTGGACAAACCTTTTGACGCCGTTGCCAGCGCCATGCGAGTAGCGATCGCACGTGCCCATGACTGGGCAGCAAACATCCCCTCTATTGCCGCCCATGCAGAGGCGGCGGTCCCAACGTTGGAGATGACTTGACCAAAAATCTCACGTGAGAGATTGGAGAGGAGGTAGTTGAGGACGGTCCGGTCCTTCGCGGACCATTTCTCGTACTTCGGATTAGGAGAAGGCTTGACGTCCTTCCCTTTCTTGCCGCCGGTGGCATCAAGGAATGCCGGTGGAGCCTGCACCTCGGCGCTGATGTGATCAGCGAGTTGGAAGCCCCTTAGTGCTAACAGCACTTTAGCGTGCCACATCATGTGGTTGGAGCGCGTGAGCTTCTCGCTCACGGGACAGCCAAGCAACAGAAACACAGATGCAGCGGATGAAGATGGGAATGCCATGGTCGAGCTCCCTTAGGAAGAAGGCTCTGAATACCATGTGGAAATGAGTAGAACGAGGTACCTCTCCTGGTACTCGGTTAGATGTTAATATAGATTAGGAAGCCCCTGAAGGCTTGTACAACAAGATAGATTACATGGAGCAACAAATTCCCACCTTGGACTGCAAGCCAAGATATGCGCCAGGTACATCCTAACAACCATGTACACGGTAACAAACCAGTAACAAACCTATCGTCTAACAACAATTACAAGTGTTATCCTGTACTTGTAAGTCTTGGGTTACAAATGCATTGCATTATTGTGTGCCACATAATTTAGTAATCCCGAGAAAATGCTTAGTTGGTGTGAAACAAACACATCACATGTAAAAGACAGAAATTGAAACTAAGAAAAGGTGGTGTGGTACAGTTGCATATTTAACTAACATAGAACATAGAGCTAGACTACTTCATTAATTACTATGACTAACAGAATAAAGACTATTGTCATGTAACTATGAAACCTTTATGCAATACTAACTCTATCACTGAGGATATCCTTTCTGGAAGATTTTCCTTCTTTTTGCAAGCTGAATTTCCCTTTCTTTCTGCATCCAGTCCATGGCCGGCCTTTGCAGTTGGATGGGTGCATGGGTACTCCATAAGTCGAGCAAGTGAGCGATCATATGTGTCCGGCTCCAAACCTCCTGTTCCTGTCCTTGAAACAGCTTTCTTTTTGTAGGTTCCCCAATAGTTCTCCGTGTTCGTAAGCTTGTTCTCAGTGTTCTCATGCTTGGCCTTTCAACCTTAGTGCGTGCATCCCCATGTTTGGACTTCCAAACCATTTGGTACACTGTCGCTTCAGCATTATTGCAGCAGTAATCAATGGCCTCTGGTAGCATGATGTCTCCTAGTTGTTGCAAGGTAATGTTTGTATGCAAGAGATGTTGATCTCCACCAACTATCTCCCTTGCTTCAGAACTTTTATTCTCTGGTATCATGTCTACAGAAGACCCATGGGGTGAAAACATAATTCCAGCTTTCAGATATGGAGACTCTTGCAGAGACATTATACCTCCAGACAGAGAGGCCTTATGTCTCCTATAAACAGTCCGTGAGACTTGCCCCGTTTAAGAATGGAGGAATTCCTTACCTCCTGTTCCATACGTTCTTCTTCGAGGATTCTCTGTTACATTTGTGCAGTTTCTCATCACACTCTTGTGCAGCACGCTTCAGCTTGTTTCGCCAACGCAACATGGATGTATCAATGATCTGCCATTTAATAGAAGTCTCAAGAGCAGCTTCTAGCCTGATGTGTGCCATCTCTAGCCTCTCTATGTTTCTGATTGCATTTGTTTCCTCTTTCTCCTCATACTTTTGAACCAGACCAGATATAATTTGGTTAATTGACTCCTGTATAACCGCAGAATTGACCATCTCCGCCATTGGGATTCAAGCGTCTGTAGCACTCCTTCCCTGGTAAGAAAAAAATATATATAGCAGTGTGCATAAGTGATTAGATATGTGAACTTGGATACGAAGCAAAGATTAGGTAAGTGTGGATGCAAGAATCTACCTCGACCAAATTGTATGAAAACTGTGAACAGCTCTCCTGGGTACAGCTGAGAGAGCTATTCTGGATGTTATATTTGACCTGTGGAGTAAAATATGGTGAAAACTTTAGAAAACATAGAGGGGTTCTTATAGAGACTACAGTGATGTAAGGGAAGAAGAGATGATGTAAGGGAAGTCCCTCAAGAAGACTATCTTATTGTAAGTCAACGATGAGAGTCTCCAGTGAAATGAACATGGTGTGACAACTCAAGACAGGGAAAGAAAGTGAAATGCATCTTGAAAATGTTTCATCTACACAGCAGTGGACCAGGAACTTTGAAGATGTCTTGGTCTTGCGGGTAAAACAAGACAAGCTTGATGTCTTTGACAACACTCAGCTGTCGAGAAAGAACCTGCTGTCAGTTTTAATCTATAGTAGATGTGGCCAACATTCAAGTCTTTGTAAGTTTATTGAACAATATACAAATACTAACTAATAAGCACTCAACAACAGGAATGCATTAACTGAGATGACATATCTAGCTAGAGGAGCAAACAAAGCACAAGTTAATCTAAAGATTGTTCACCTGTAGAATAAAAAGGGCCTAGTTGATGCCTCTGCTCAGAGTTGCAGAGTGAACAGAACCAAGCTATGCAATGCAGAGTGAACAGTGTTTCCGTCAGTGCCTGTGCATGGTGATGTAGAGTGTTCAGAGTACTTTTTTTTGGCTTATCTAGAGAAGTACAGGAGCCTACAGTAAGTTCAAAGGACTGATAAGGTGCACATATATTATGCAATTTACCTAAAAGTACTTTTTAGCAAGTATTTAATTTATAAAGTATATACTTTTTAGCAAGTATTTCATTGTTTTTCTAAATTATGAGTTATAAACACTTTCTATCTTCTGGAACCCCCCCGCAATGTCAGCCTCCACGTATAGGGATGAATCCTGCTCTTGCCATCTTTGTGGTACTCATGGTGAACTGGTGATGTACAGTAAATTTCAGAAATTGAACTAGTCAGGTTTCTGGGCAAATAGCCAGTTTATTATCTGCGAGTAGTGCATCTGAATTATAAGATAGGATCAATAGAAAAAATATTTTCTGCTGAAATAAGCTTATAAGCATATGGCCTTTTAACTCCAATTCAATCTTACAACATTTTCCATAGATATATAGAGAGAGAGATGGATTAATTTGATTTCTGCACTTACCAGTGTAGTGCATGATAGTGAAGATGCTGAACAGGAGCAGTGCATAGCAGATCAGCAGACAGCGTCACTTGGTGAAGTAGTTGTTATCTGTGACACTGCACAACCTTATCTTTTGCATCTTGTTGAAACGACATATTTTATAGGGGCGTTTGAATCTGCAACTGCAATGCAAGGTTCAATCTCATGGTTTAGACCGCAGCAAATAGAAACATGATGAACTAAGCATTTTGTCGAACATGTTGTAAGCGTCTTAGCCTAGTGTGGCTAGGATGGCAGCAACGGCCCGCACCACGGCACCAAGCGCAGCGACACGTACCTGGCACCAGAGGTGTGTTTCTTGGAGGGGGGGCGACGCCAGCAGAGAAGACAAGTACCCGGCGCCGGCGGTGAGGGCCGGATCCACCAAGGGCTGGGGTGGGCGGTGCATCCCGCGGGCTTCCTCTGCGCGCTGCGTGCTGGCCTCCTCCGCACCGACGGCCAAATCTGCTGACGAATAGGGTGAGGGTGAGGGCGATGGTTGGGTTGGGGCGCCGCAGCCAGCCTCCTCCATACGCCATGCGCCGTCCTCGGACCGCTCCGCGAGCTGCATGCCGAACTCCTCCTCGCTGAGGGTCAGGGTGGGATGGAGGGCACCGGCAGCCGGCCGGGGTGGGGTGCGATAGGCGCCGCATGCGGCAGCTGGCGAAGAGGAAGCAGCGAGGGTGGGGTTGGGGGCGGCGGCTGGTGTAGCGAACGGAGGCGGCTGGGTTGGGATTAGGTTTTACATGCCAGGGGGTTATTGGGCTGTGGACTGGATATCCACTTCCGCAGATTGTGTATTGCTAGAGATTGCACACTGTTAGTGACATTTTTTGAATTCGTGACGAAGAATCCGTCACGGATTATATGGTTTCTTGTAGTATACCTTTATTTATAACTCATTGTCGACTTGTTAAATGCAATGATACAGTAAGCTTGGCAATCTGAAGAGCTGAAGTAACGATATCAAGGAAGTTGTATTTCATTGAATAAAGGAAAGTTTGACTTTGGCTAATCTATTGCATTATGAATAGTACAAATGTGTTATTGGGCTCCAATCAGTTCAATATTATCTAAAAATGTATTTGACATATTAGAGGAAAAAAGGCTATGTTCGCTTATTTTATAATCCGTACTTTTTCAGTGAACAAACAGTATTTTTCTCTCACAATAATCAGCCAATCGTACTTTCAGCCATGACTTATCAGCCAAGTGAACGAGACCAAAAAAAAAAAGAATAGCCACACGAACATGCTAGTTGAGGGAGGGGCTATTCATGGTTACGAGGACCTTGAGTACTCACAGATCAAGTAGCCGAGAGGCTCAAGATTAAACTAGAGTCATTATGTCATCCTTACGTATACTCAGCAAGTTAGGGGAACACACTGAACATAGGCTTTGTTCGGTTTCCTCTCCTAAAGTTTAGTGACCAGAACCAAACAGGATATGTGATGTATATGTCTACATGTATAGTAAAAACTTCAGAAGAGGAAAATCAAACAGGGCATATGTCTACATGTATAGTAAAAACAATGTATTAGAAACGTCAAAACTTCTTTTAATTTGGAATAGAGGAAGTACTTGTCAAGGGATGAAAATGAATGCCAAATCTTATTTTAAACATGATCCCACTCATTTATTATTTCTATTTCTAACTCTTTTGGCCACGCCAACGTTCCAAACATGGCGAAAACACACTGCCACACCACATGTATCGACACGGTACGATCTACCACTGTGGACAACTATTCCAGGTGGAAATCCTTGCAGCGCTACTCCCGCTGGTGTGTGAATACTGTAGCACCACGCTAGTATGAAGAATCGTACCTTTTTCATATAACCTCGGATGAAGATGATTTTTAATGGAAGTCATAGCCCTCGACGAGGTCTACAACTTTCTAATTTTGAGTTTTACCATTTGAGATGTTAACATGCTCAAAAAAATACAAAGTTTTAGCAGCATATTAATTACGTATTATGGCTTGTCGATTTAAAAAATCATATCTTTCTTGTACGAAGTCAAATGAAGGTACTTTTTATATATAAGTTGTAGTTATTAATGAGATCTACAGCTTTATAATTTTGAGTATTTTTTCACTTGAGGTTGTTAACATGCTCAAAAAATAAAATAAAATTTCAGCAGCATATTAATCGCGTATATAGTGTCAAATGAAGATACTTTTTTATATGAAAGTTGTATATTTTGATGAGATTGACTCCCTCTATTCCAAATTATAAGCTGTTTTAACTTTTTAGTACATCTATATTTCTATGTATCTATATATAACGTATGTCTAGATACATACCAAAATTGATGTACCAAAAAAGTCAAAGCAACTTATTGTTTGGAATAGAGGGAGTACAACTTTATATTTTTGAGTTCTTTCGTTTGAGGTCGTTAAGATGCTCAAAAAGTGATATAAAGTTTTAGAAACATATTAATCGCGTACAAGTGCTTGCTGTCTTAAAAAATCATATCTTTCCTGTACAGTGTCAAATGAAAATAATTTTTATGTGAAAAGTTATAGCTCTCAATGAGATCTATAACTTTATAGTTTTTAGTTTTTTCATTTAACGTCCTTAAGATGTAAAAAACAACCTAAACTTACAGCGGTATCTTTCCTATATGATATCGGATAAAGAAACTATAAAATTGACTATCTCATTGAAGTTATAGGGGAGGCATAATACTGAACTACTTATCGTGTTAACTATCTGAATGAATTATGAAGAAACAAAGGACGATGAAAGAAACAAATTGGTATATCCCCTGCCATAATGTCAAGTGATATTAATCTGTACAGAGAAATTACAGTGCAGCCAGAAGAGTTCCAACTTTAAAATCCAAAACAAAGAAGATGCGTCAATGCTCACCTTGACGCAAAAAGGCGGAGGAACACAGGCGTGTAGTCTGTTAATCTAGAGATGCCAAGGATTTGTTAAGGAATTAATCTGTTCATTGGGATCAGCGGACCGACCCAGATGAAGGCTTAGCTCTGCACCAGTGGAGAAGAAGCGTCGGATGGCCGGCAATGTGCAGTTGGCTGTACCTAACCGTCATGCACGGGGCCATGTTGTGCTCGCAAAAAAAAAAAAAAAAGCACGGGTTCATGTTGATGACAAAAAAGGTAATGGGAAGGGAATGATCTAGATGTTCTATGTGAAGAGAAATAGAGCAATATGAATTGCAAAAAATGTGACATCTTTGGTCGTACCTACACGAAAGAATCTTGAGTTTTTATTGTCTACTTTTTTTTATGAAAAGTTATTGTGCAGCTCTTCAGTTCATTTAGAGGAGATACATCTGATGTTGCCTGTTAATCTCTCCGGACATTACCTGTTGATCTCTTCACATAGAGAGTATTTTATCTAACATTATATAAGAAAGATATTCTAAGACGACAAAAACTTAGACGTGATTAATATGTTGCTCAAATATTATATTATTTTTTTAAACATCTTAACGATCTCAAATGAAAAAACTTAAAATTATAAAGATGTAGATCTCATCGAGAGATACAACTCAAAACAAGGTCATATAAAAAGTATGTTCCTTTGACACGTAAAAGAAAGATATGATTTTTCAAGACAAAAAGCGCTTGTACGTGATTAATATGATGCTAAAATTTTATATTATCTTTTCAGCATCTTAACGACTTACAATGAAAAAACTCAAAACAACAAAGTTGTACATCTCACCGAGAGCTACAACTTCTATATAAAAAATATCATAATTTGACCGAGTACAAGAAAAATATGATTTTTATAAGTCAACAAGCCCTTGTACGCGATTAATATGTTGCTGAAACTTTGTATTATTTTTTTTATCACATTAACGACCTCAAATGCAAAACCTCAAAACCAGGCGTGATTGATGTGCTATCACTCTTAAAAAATATTTGATCATAAAATCAAATAGATACAATGGGTCGTCAACTCTTGTCATGTGTCCTACGAGATGTATATATAGGACAAAAACACTAAACAAATCAGCTAATAACATAACCTGAACTGCAAGCCCTCTAGGTGTCCCCGCAAGACTCATATGTTAGAATTCAGATCATAATCCAAAACCAGTACATCCCTGCTGCAGTTTTTTGTCTGTGGTTATTTCACTGACCCATCCGTGCTACATGATTTATAACTTCTGTTGGTGGCGCTCTTACTGACTGACTCTTTCTGAATCCAGTCCTTGATTGATCCCTGCAGCCGGATGGGTGCATCTGTAGCCCATAAGTTGACAAAGTGAGAGACCCCATATGACCAATTTATGGACTCCTCATCTTTTCGCTGCATCGTCCCATGTGTGCTTGGCATCATGATGCTTGCCTTCTCAACATGAATGTATGCAGTGCCATGCTTAGACCTCCAAAGCATTTGGTAGATTGTCGCTTTTCCATTCTTGTAAAAGTAATCAATTGCCTTGGGCAGCATGATCTCTTCCAGTTGTCCAAAACTAAATTCTGTGTGCAAAAAATGTGGCTCATCAGTGTAGATTGCCGCCATCGCTGGACTTGTATCCCCAGGCAGGTAGCCTTCTAGATATCCATGGGGTGAAAAGACGATTCCAGCTTTCAGACTAGGAGAATCTTGTAGGGAATTTCTGAATTCAGACAGTAAGGCCCTATGTTTGTAGCACCCCGATACTGAGACATGGCACTGAAGATTTACTGAAATAACTGGTTCTAGAGACACATCTCGTAATCCCAAGACGCCTAACTTGCTACCATGACCGACCTTGTGTTGATCGTGCTGCTTGCAACATAACGGGTTTGGGCGAAGCCATTGAGTACCCAAGCTGAGAATATTGTTCAATTGTTCTTTCTGGTGTGTATCAACATTTGGCACCCACGAGAAGTCTTCTATAGGTAGTTGCATAAGTTCTTTCCTAATGGTTTCAACTGTAGACTTGAAAAGAGGTGCAAAAAGCTCTATGCACTTCATTGTGATCCCAATTATGTCGGTACTCTCTGAAATCTGTAGCATTAATGTAAGTAAAAAGTCATCCTCTCCCACATTACCATCTTTCTGAATAAAGATTAGTCTAGCCTCTATTCCATACTCTGAAGTAGTAAACGGCACCAACAATAGAAACAAGTGGCGCTTGTTCTCCTGAATGATTCTGTGGTGGAGTTTCTTGCCTGCAAGAAGGTACTGGTTAAGCGGGTGAAAGGGCATGTGATGACGTGGCGTTCCACCGAGCTCAACTAACCTTATAAACTCGCTAGCACCATCTGCAAACCACTCAAATCTCCGAGCAATGGAAGTGTTCATCATCTCGTTTTTGTTGGGTCTAAAGATGGAGGAAACAAATGACCTTGTTGTACGTGCTATACGTTTAGGAAACGAAGATTTTCTCTCCTCCTTTTCTGTCTCTTCGTCTTCTAGGATCCTTTGTTTGCAGTTGTGCAGCGTGTCATCGCACTCTTGAGCAACTCGCTTCAGCTTCGAACGCCAACGCAACAAGGAGGCGTCGGTGATCTGCCACCTATCAGATATCTCAAGAACAGCCTCCAGCCTGGTGTGCGCCATCTCTAGCCTCTCCAAATTCATGTCCTTGTTTGATTCATCTTTCTCCTCATATTTTCGAACCAGATTAGATAGCACTTTGCTAACTGTTTCTTGGACAACTGCCGAACTGACAATGTCTGCCATTAGGATTCAAGGATCCTGCTCAGGAAATTCAACATATAACAATATACATGAGAGACTAAATATATGAACATTGGATCACTAGCAAAGATTAGCTTAGCACTTGTAAGAACCTACCTCTGACTGAATCACATGGACAGGTAATCCTGTCTGTATAGAGATATCTTCAGGGTAAAAGATCATACAGTGAAGCAAGACAAGAACTTAAAGGGACTACAGTCATGTCAATGACTGGGAGCAGGGGAGAAGAGGAGGGCAACAAGTACGATGCAAGGGGAGTGGAGGATTTGTTCTCTTCAATTACAAGGGAAGAAGGTAAGGGAAGTCCCTCAAGAAGACTTATTTCACATAAGTCTACGATGAGAGTCTCCAGTGAAATGAACATAGCAGTGGAACAGGAACTTTGAATATGTCTTGATCTTGCGGATAAAACAAGACAAGCTTCAAGTCTTGGTCAAGACTCAGCAGTGGAGAAAGAACCTGTTGTCAGTTGTAATTTATAGTAGATGAGGCCAACATTAAGTCTTTGTAAGTTTATTTTCTTGGCACGCTAGTTGACTGATGGCTGAATGGCTCACTGCATTTTTACTTTGTCCCATTTTCCTTGTATTCCCTCTCCCCTTACTTGGTTCATGCCGTTTAATTTGGTTAAACAGATCACTATCAGCTAGTTAAAATTAGAAAAGTTCATCCAACCATACGTGTATTCTTGTTGCAGCATATTGTTGGAATATATGGGCTTGGCCCAAATAAGAATTCTTGAAATTCCTAAGAAAATCTCAAAGGCCCATTCATATGTGCAAAGAGAAAAGTGGGGACTCTTTAGTCCCACCTTGCCTGTGGAAGTGAATTTAGCTATTCTTAAATATGGAAGTCCCCTTCACTTCCTCAAGTCTAGTGTGAGGAAGAGACAGAAAGCCCACATGTGTGCACTCACCTCGCTAGATCCGCAGGGTGGAGGGTGCTTGGCACCTGCATGAAATGGTTCACCAAAATCTAGCTCCTAGCCTTGTGGGAATGATCTCTTTTTGCAGTTTTAGTTTCTTGGTCTTCAAGTTTGCAGAGTCCTAAATAGTTTCTTGGTCCAGGACTATATAAGCAGCCTATCGGCCATGCCAAAACACAGTTTTGGTTTCTTGGCCTTCAAGTTTGCAGTCCTAAACGGTTTCTTGGCCGGACAGGACTATATGAGCAGCCTATCGGCCATGCCAAAACACGTCCAATCAAGCTAGGGCTTTTGGCTCTTCTCGCTGTTGCGCTACTGCCGTAGTTTATCCATCCTGACCGCCTACGTGCACCTGCGATCGGGAGACCAGGTCTCCGGAACCCTTATCCTTGCGATCCTGCACTGGGAGAGGATAAATAAGGTTTTTGGAAAAGCGCTCGTCACGCGACTGCTCCCGGCTTCCACGACGGTCATCTTCCATCCAAGTCAGACGGCTCTACGCCCCGGCGTATTCATCGTCATCTGCTCCAAGCTCTTCCTCTACCGCTCATCGACGACTTCGCACCATCACCACCAGCGACGTCTCCCTCTACATCTCCATCACCAGCAACGCCGAGGTACTTGACATGTGATCCAATCTATTGCTGTCGTTTGCCTGGTGTGTTGATCATTAAGATCTTTGTTACGTCGCTATTAATGTTGTCCGATCTAACTAGTATGTTAGGGCTCTCAATGCTAGTTTATGAGATTGTCATAATTTATATTCTTGTATTAATCAGGCAATAGACTAATTATTCAACACATATATGTCAAAGCCTCATCATTCACCAAGTTCAAAACGGTGACTGCACTTCGAATACATATCTTACACTCAAAAGCTATAATTTTCATATGAATTTTATGTCTATCTTATATGGAAAAGATATTATTCTTCTAAGGGGGTGAAACTTTAGTACGTGACTAATATGCCTTTGAAATTTTATATCAATTATTTAAGCATCTTAACAATTTAAAATGAAAAAACTCAAAACTAAACTGTTGTACATCTTCCGGAGAGCTATAATTTTTATACAAATTTTAACTTCATCCAGCTCCATTTCTGTCTGATGATTTTTCTAAGATATAACAAGTCCCATTACATGCTTAATATGTACATGCTGAAACTTTTTATAAAGTTCTCAACTATCTTAATGACTCTAAATGTAAAACAAAAAACTAGAAAGTTGTGTGGATCCCATCAGGAGAAATAAAAATCATTTCCATCTGACACCGTATGAAAAAGATGTGATTTCTATATGGTAGAATGGTATCCTTACCACACGGGTCCAAAATGGTGTGGCAAAGCTTTTGGTGTTAATATGCGGCAGTAGACTCCTCTTACATGTTCAGTGTGCAACATATTTTTGCCATGCTAATGCACGTGTCGTGACAAAGTGTTTTTGCCATGCCATGTTATCTGACACGGTCAAAATGGTTAGGAATCAAAATAAAAGTTGAATGGAATTGTTTCTAACACTACCGGATATACCGAAAATTTCCTTATCAGTGAGAAATCGATAGAAAAATATGAAATACCGACGGAAAAATGTGAAAAACAATTTCCCTGTCAGTCAACCGATGAATATACAGACAGAACAAAAGTGATTAAAATGGTAAATAATGATTTTTAGAAATAATAAAAATCGAGCAAGTAGCAAGTCCATGCAGATGACTTAACTTTTTCCCCAACACTCAACAGACTTATTTGACTTTGAATTTTCCTTTGAGGAGTCTCGTTCGGCAGTGGACAACGAACATGGAGAAGTCTTTGCCGCGTGTTACTGTCAGTGTCCAATTTAAGTCATTGCAAATTTATTTTCTTGGCACCACTAGTTGACTGCTGACTGAATGACTCGCTACATTTCTCTCTGCCCCATATTCCAATGTGTCCTCGTCCCTTAGTGCTCGTATGCATTTGCTGCACTCTAATACATCTCAATTCACATGGATTAGGTAGAATTAAAGTACTATAGAAAATTGAGCAAAAAATGTACTGTAGAAAATTAACTAATTTTGTATATAAATCTTTGTCACCCATATAGATGGGAGTAGATTTTGATGTAGCCAAACAAACCCGTATTTAGTTCATGCCGCGTAATTTGGTTAAGCTGAATACTGTAAGAGGCACTCTGAATGCTGAGCAGCAGGCAGAGGAGCCGCGGAGCTCAACATATATACACAGCCTGTGCATGCTTGTGGCTGTGAGGTGGGGAGCAAATCGTGCCGCGCGTACCTCGAGAGCGCCTGCTCGAGGTGGGAGAAGCGCGACGCCAAGTCTGGCTGCTCGCCCTCCTTCTCCACCGTGGGGGTGGCGCAGCAGCAGCAGCAGCCGCAGCCGCAGCCGCACGCCGTCCCTCGCCTCTCTGTCTGGCCGACCACCTCCGTAGCCGTTCTCTTCGCTGTGCCCCAGCCATGATCTTTCCACAGGCGATGGGGCGAGTGTGGAGCTAGCCTGGGCCGGGTCCATAGTCTGCGCCTTCTTGGCTTGGCCCAACATGTTGCTGCCGTTTCTTCACGGCTTCTTTTACCGTTCTTATTATCCAGCAGAGCATTCATCAAGATTACAAATGTCATTTCTGCCGTGTATATTCTCAACGTAAACCAGAAAAGACATTCGGAATCTTATTGTAGGTTCATATTAATCCCCTATTTTTTTGTAAAAAATATTAACCTCAAGCACTGTTACAACAATTTCCTTACAAATATCTCTTTTAAAATCATGTCTACTTTTTCCTAACATCCAAATTTTATTTATTCTGCTTCCTCAACAAAAAAAAAAAAAAACCTGAGATGGGGTGACTTAAATTCTCTTACTCCCTTCGTCCCAGACAAAAATGTCTTGGCTTTATAGGAGTCAATCAATCAATTTCAAGTTTCACTACACATAAAAAAATAGTATCAACATTAATATTTCCAATTATATTTACTGCAAAAATATACTATCATGTATAGAGAAATTTTATTAAATTTAAAATTGGTTGACTCTAAAAAAACAAGACAGAGGAAGTAACTAGACCTCACAGGTGTTAGAGGGCATGAAATCGACAATTATTGCCATTCAAATCAAATCAATAAAAACAATGTTTACAGGGCGCGATGCCATCATGGATTGCAGAGTACATGATGCAACAAAAAAAAATCCCATGATTATCTAAACTGTGAAATCCCAGCCCATGGGACAGACCAAATCCGTGGTACTGCAGCATCAGTGTCGGGTTCATAAACCCAGGGTCCCTCGTGGACCGCCCTCCCAAACAAGGGCCCGGCTCAAGTATCTAAACAGCAGGTCAGAAGGGCGATCCAATCACCGACCGAAAGGTCTGGCCGAGGACAAGCGACACCCGTTTTCTGACTCCGGCCCACCTCTCCGACCGGAGGGCTCACTTTGGTCTCCAGCCCGCCTCCGGACGGCCTCTCTGACCGGAAGGTCCGCCAAAGCACAACTTTCGACTCTGACCCCACATCTCCGACTGGAGCATGCAAAAACCCTGCTCACTGCTCTTCTCCAACTGGCGCAATCAGAGCCAACTGGGACCAACCGACCGGGGACGCCCGCTCGGAAAAGACCAGGGAACGAACGGAGAAAGCAAGGTGAGGCGCACAAGTCAAACAACGATACCGGGGACTGTACCCTGTACACCTGCAGAAACAGGACTCTACAACCCCCCTGACACAAACAATGTTGTAGGCGCCGACATTTTTCCTACATTATTGTGGGCGCCATTGACTCTCATACGGTAAGGCTCCCCCCACGTGCCTCTGGGCATCAACAGTGTTGTGGGCGCTGGTATTTACTGTACCGAGTGAACATGGTAAAACTCCTCACATGTCTATGGGCATCAACATTATAGCAGTTACCGACATCTGCCATACCTGAACAAAATGACATAACCTCCCACATGCATCCGACATCCAACAGTGTTGTGGGCGCCTACCATCATCCTGTACCCGCCGACGTGGGCAACAAGGCTTAGAAGCATGCGTACTCCTTCCCCCCCACTTGTAAGGCCATCCCCTT